GATGACTTTTTTAAAATTTACACAACTGACGACAAAATAAAATAAAATGAAATAAAATAGATCAATTTTATTTCTAATGAAATTCAAATAAGAATTCATATGCCTATATCCGATTCTAGAATTATTTTCGAAACTTGGCAAGGTAAATTAAATCGGAATATGCTTAAAGTTGACGTTAATTGACAAAGTGCATCCTTCAGACTGGCAAACTAGCACATACCGATTCGATTTTGAATCGAAAGATCACACGTTCTAGAAACCGAACGAACATTAGTTACACTTCCTTTCGTAATGTTGCATCATTTCTATTCTCGATATCTTTCGTTATATTATTGCAACGATTACTTTCATGTTTCACAGTCTTCATTTTTACATTTCGTTATTTATTCTTATTATTTATTTAATATTTTTTTTTCAACTATTCACATAGCAAAGGCGAGTGACATGTTCCAATTGATAATAATTTCTTTTTTTCTTTTTTACGCACATATATATACTACATATGTATTATGTAAGGTATCTGATTACGTTTGTTTTGATTTACTCCGAACCCCTCACTTCTCTTTCTCCATAAATTTTAACGTCGTAGATTATTTTTTTTCCGTTCTATTGGACTACAGTCAATGATTCCGTATAATTCTATCAATAAAAATGTTTTCGTATCGATTGACGATCATTTATTTTTTAGTACAAAATACACGTATACGTAAACTTGACGTAAGATTTTTGATTATGTTTGTTACGATAATCCCCACCATTTTATAACGTCATAGACCCATTTTTTCTGTTTACATTCTATAAAGGTCAATGATTTTATATGATGAAATTAATAAAAATTTTTTCGAATCAATTGACGATCCTTTTTTAAGTATTACGCATGTTCACGTAAACTTGACGTAAAATTTTTGATTACGCGAGTTATGATAACATCCATCACTTTATAACGTCAAGAATCCTTTTCTTTTATATGTTGAATTACAGTCAGTAAATCAGTGTGATTAGAAAGAAAAAACTTTATTATCACATTTATGTTGATAATAAATATTCCTTTTCTCCTATCATTTTCTGTTTTTCCTTCTTTTACTTTTTCTTATAATAAGACTATAAATTTGAAGTCGTTCAAATGACTATGCAAAATGTTGTGACGATTAGATAAATAAAAATGATTTTACTGTTTCTTAAACTGTTTTTTTTTTTAAATTAAATTAATTTACCTTCATAATTATGAGTACGAGTTGTTAATGAATGTTTCGATTTGTTTACTTTTAAGTTGCACATATTTAAGTATAGTATAAATATGTTTATACCGAAATATTTGGTCGAGTAAAAATAAAAAGTAAAAAAATAGAATCGTATTTCTTTTATTAATTAATAAATTTATTTAACGATTTATTTTTACTTTTACCACTTTGTGCATAAAACGATAATATTCGATTGGGGAAAGGATATTTTCGTATTTTTTCGATAAATAATTTTAGATAATATTTATTTTAATCTACCAATATTCGAATAAATTTCAAAACTGAATAATTGTATAGTAATTTAAAAATAATTTGTTTATTAATTTACTTAGTCAAAAGTTATTGCGTTTTCAAAATAAATGAAAATAAAGAAAAAATTTGATATATATTTTGAAATTTGTTTACAAAAAAAGAAAGAATGCAAATCAGGCTGATTAAGAAATTTGTGATGTTTATTATTGACATGATGCGCGTAGTTAGTATGCGTAGTATAAAACTGGTTCAAGCGATTTCAATTTGGCAATTTTTATATCAAAGATGAGTTTTGCTCTGATTTATCGATTACTAAAAAGTCGATGAATTGTGAAAAAAATTGAACAAGACCAGCACATTAATATTTATGAAATTGGTAAAGAAATTAAAACAAAACGATTTTAAATACTTCAGAAATAAATTTCGAGCATATTATTTTATTTAAACTATTGATTGATTTAAATAATAGATGATTAAAATATGTATAAGAAAGAAATTGATCTATTTTTGAGATCGAAAAATCATGTCTATGATACGAGCACTTTGATGAATATGTTTCATAAGAGTTTAAATTAAAATGTAATAGTTAAATAAGTTATCTCCTAAGACATTGAGAAAGTTAAAAATAAATTAGGATTAACATGTAATAATTTAATTCATAAATATCGGTTATATGATATTGTAAATTATTAATTTATTATAAGTAATATTATAATAATATAAATTATAATATATATTTTTTTATTTAAAAATAGAATTGTTTATATTATATTTATTTATATTTATAATATATTTAATTATATGTATATGTATTTCTTATATATTTTTTAATATATTTGTCTGTAATACCTAACTGTTATGAATAATGTCAAACAAAATTGGACACCATACTAAATTTCATGTCATCAAGTATTATTTATCATATTGACGGTTCAATAGGTATACTGTTATCATCTGATCGAGTAAAGTGATAATAATGATACCTTTTCGGCAACTTTAGATTGAGTTTAGAAGAGAAGGAATGAAGTATGATACCCAATAAGGTTACGTCATGGCTGAACATTGTGATTAATATTAATATGACAAATAATTAATCTTGTGGCATATTGGAATTTTATTTCATCTATAAAAAACTTAGTTTTATCAAACTTGTTTATTCTATTGTTTTATATATATACAAACAGATCAAATTTTGAATTCTTTGATTATTTTTTTTATATAAGCAAACCATAAAGTTTAAATTAAGTAAATAAATAAAAGTATTATTACAAAAAGTAATATTATAATATAAATTGTGATATTATTAAATTAATAATAATTATTCTAATCTTAATATATATAAATTACGTGTCTCGTTGTTTGTCCACAATGGACTCCTAAATTACTGAATCGATTTTAATAGAATTTTGCACATTGTGTGCAGTTCCATCCAACTTGAAAGATAGGATAGTTTATATCTCAATTTCTAATCGCAATATTATTTTAGTGCGAATTATTTGTTTATTAACAAAGAGTCATGATTATCTCGCTTAGTTCGATAAGATTCTAACAGATGGCGGTATAAGGTAGTTCGTTGACTTAAAGACGTGTATATCGGACTGATTGTGAGCCACAGCAACGTGTGGCGGGGCACCCCTAGTTATATATATATATATATATATATATTAAAAAATATCAAACAAAGTGACTTGAATAAAACTTCATTCAGTTCATTTTTGACGAGTATACTTGTTATCATTGAATTTTTTCTACACAAGTTTTTGTACACATTTTTTATCTTTGCAAAAAATATATTTTTAAGAACAACTGACTTGTTAATGAAAAGTTGTACCTTTCTATTTTTTAAATCAAATTATTTGAAGAGGAAGTATAGTTTTCCTTATAGTATCTATTAATAAATTAATCAATATTTATCAGGTTATTTTGCTATTCAAGTCATCATTCATAATAGCCGGACATTGTAAATAATAACCTATTAGTCACTTGGCCCATTCAATATATATATAGCTGTATCTGTTTTGAAAGTTATGCAGTTATGCACATTGCGAGATGCCAAGAAAGTAAATTAGCATTTTGTTTTAAAAGCGAACCACCAATGCTCGTAACGATTTGCCTGAGGATAACTTCATTTTCTTCAAGATCTTAGTATAATGATAAACTCTCAAAGAATTATACCTCAGTATTCGCACTTTCATGATTTATGATAAGTATTCAACTATTAATTGCACGAGCATTTAATTTTACCTGTTAACTCGGAAATTTAGAAAAAGAATCTTTTTAATTTTACACAACAACAACAAAATAAAAAAATAAATGTTGTTCCAATATCAATTAAAAAATGTAATGAAAAATGTAAAAAAGTCCATTAGAAAATGTTTAGAATGCAATGGAGGAACATTCGAACACTTATTGTAATAAAATACATTGCTGATATAAAACATCAAATATCTCCTAAACTATTGACATTTTGATGACCTTCATTTGATACTTTTTTACGCACAATAAAAAAAGGAATCGAATAGTGTAAATAAAAAAATAAAGTTCCATTTAAAAAAAAAAGTGCAACTGCATCTAGCGGGTGCATCGATGCATTTTCGAAAAAAGTAAGGTCATAGAAAGTTGACATTTTTTATGCCATATAACTTTTTCCTTTATAATTTTTTTTCTATTGTTACTTAACAAAAAGTTATTACTCGTCCCCGTTACAAGAATTACCCTGTATAATTACATATATTATGTAAATAAACATATATATAATATTATACAATTGTATATAAAAAATACATAATATTAGTTATATATGTATAATTAAATTAGTATTATTGTTAATAATTTAGTAACATATATATATACTATACCAAAAAAAATATATACATATATGTATGGGATGCTCCTACCACGTGTTGCTGTCGCTTTGTTATAAAATGTTGATCTAATGTAATTCTAAATTATTTATTAAACTATAAAAATAAACAAAATAATACCACAATTAGAATGGAATACATAAAATAATAATACTCGAATTAATATAAAAGATAATGTTAGTTATGTCACATGTAAATCTGAAAAGAACCTATGACGTAAATATATCGAAATAATTGAATTGTAATACAGCGCTATATATTGAAAACTTACAGTATTTAAAGACCTATATAATCTTTATATTAATAAATCATAAAATTAGCAATAAAAAATAAAAATAATTGCGATAAAAACTGTCCTATATACTAAGTTGACAAAAACTACACAAAATAACAAAAATTTCATTAAAATCGATTCAATAGTTTAGAAGTTCATTGGAAATAAACAATGTGGCATTGAATTTTAATATATAAAGATATTTTTAAGATGATAACAATAACTATGTATATATATGTAAATATACACACATATAGTTATCATTTTTTTCTAAGCAGAAGAAAATGTTTTTTATTTCAAGATACTTTCTGCCCTCCCTTAAAAAAACTGACACGTACATGACATAGAAAAGATTGAAAAGATACTTACTTTGACCTGAGGACTGACCAGGTAGAGAAAAGGATTGGCCCTGAGCCTTTCTCTCTCATCGATCTGCCTACGGATTTCTTCTCTCCTCATACTACTTAGAACACTAACTTCTTCCCTCGACAATGGTGCTGTTGCCGTTAATTGAATACCTTGTGCCACATCCGGCAGTGACTTCTTTCGTTGAAGGGTCATCGCTGCAACTGGCATCGCCTATTGAAAAGGAAAAGAAAAAAAAAGAAAAAAAAAACGAAAAAACAAAGAGAAAAAGATGAATTATAACTTTAATTACAACATACTCGTAACATTAAACTTAATTTAAATTATTTAACAGAATTATTGATTGTTGAATTTTAAAAAGATTGAATCGTATTTTTAATTTTGTTTGTTTTTTTCTTTTTGTTGTATATTATTATATTTTGTTTAATTGTTTATTTATGTATGCTACAAATGAGAAGAAATTTAAACGTGTTATAAAAAAGAACAATTACTGGTTAAAGATTTAGTTTTTTTTACTGATTGAAAAATTATAAAAAACAAAAGAAACATTTATTTTTAATATTTTGTTCAATTATTTATATTTATGTTATTAATGAGAACGTAGATCTGATAAATGAAGATACTTAAATGTGTTAGAAAAAAGATATGCTCGAGGAAGTTTAAAAGAGGCCATCTGGAACAATTCCAGAATCCAAAGTTGGCCTCTTATAAACGTAACACTGGTTGTTCAAGGTCGAGTACTTCGAGCCAGGCTAAAATCATTCCGTTGACCTTCGAAGCCCGTTCGTTCTTCTTACTGATTGACAATAGGAATCGTATACTTTCCTTTTTTTTTTTTTAATAAAAAATTGTTAATCATTCAAAAATAGTTTATTATCCTAGTTGGTGTATCATTTTAATTATTAAAAAAAAAAAAGACAAAATAAATTAAAAAGTAATATTTTTAATATAAATTTTAAATTATATTCGACGATGCTATTTCATTTTAATAATCTTAAATTTATTCTAATAAGTATATTAACATTATCTTATAAGATATAATAAATTATATTTACATACGACGCATATATGTAAATTAATTAACGTTCCCGTTCAAGAAATATTTTCAATCTAGAGAGTGAGTATATAAATTACCACCGGTAATTAAAACAGTATAATGAATGAAAACAAATTAAAGAAAAAAAAATCATCATCATCCTATGATTTACATTTTTAATATGAACACTTGTAAAAAAAAAAAAAAACAGAATAAAAAAAGAATGAATAAATAAATCGTAAGATGAATTTAACGAAATTATTTACTCACGATCTGTTCACTGTTATATTACTGGGTATTAGAAAAAATATGTGTGAATAGAAAAGATAAAATAAGATGAATAATATTAATAATAATAATAATAAAATTAGAGTGAACCAAAAAGTCGATGAGTTTATTGCGTTAAAATTTTACTTTGAAACTGCGTAATGTTTTTTGTAGAATTTATGAAATTTTAATAAAAAAAAAAAACCACACGAACTCTTTTGGTTCATCCTAATTATAATAATAATAATAATGTCGTGTCGAAGGGACGAAGGGACATGGGTCCTTTTCGTACCTCGACAGGGGGCGCAACAATCCAGGACTCGGACGCCCTCCTGGCCATTAAAGCCGGGCTGCAAAGAAGCGCTTCCTCCTCCTCGTCGGGTTCGGACCAAAACATTTTTTTTTCTCAAAAAAAAATTGTCATAAAATGAAAAAAAAAAGAAAACCAACACCGAGAAATCCTTACACAATTGTCTAATTACTTATTTAATTAATTTTGTGCTTATTTCATTTTTGCAGTATCATATTAACCTCTCATTTTTGTTTCAATCTATTTAAATTGGTAATTTAAATTGGTTTTTTTTTTTTTTATAATATTTTACATATTTATATTCCGAGATAATTTTGTTATTTATCTTTTCCCTACACCATGTCTTCTCGATTTCAATAACTTCATTTTTTTTTTATTTCTTTGTAGTATCGTTTTTACCTCTCATTTTTTTTTCATCTATTTAAATTGCTATTTATTTAAAATATGTATTATTTAAAAAAATAATATTTCACCGATATTTACTCCGAGATAGTTTTTGTCAATTTATCTTTTCCCTACACCAGAGTTCTTTTCGATTTTAATTATTTCATTCCTTTTATTTTGTTGTAGTATAGTTTTAACCTCTCATTTCTGTTTTCATCTATTTAAATTAGTATTTAATTTAAATTTAATTTTTTTTTAATTTATTTAAATAATTAATAATAATATTTCACCGATATTTATATTCCGAGATAATTTGTGTTATCTTTTTCCTACACCATATCTTCTCGATTTCAGAACTTTCTTGTTTTCTTTTTCTTTTGTCAAATAATTTTAATCAATCTTTCTATTTGAAATCTTTATCTTATCTCATCGAGATACGACGAAATTCGTTTGGAAAACGCGATAAATAAACGATTGGAAAATGCGGATCCACGGGCTCTTGGTTTGAAAGCCAGGCCGCAGACTGATCGGCCCTGGCTCAACGGACCGAAATAGAGCGATGCCCCACTATTTTTGAGTCGAAATAACTTCGACGCGTCCGCGTCGCGACGTACGCATCGTTTCTTTTTTTGCTTTTAGCTTCGATCATTATTTAGCCAACATTTTTCTTTTTTTCTCTTTTTTTTTTTTAATTTTTTTCTTTTTTTTTCATTTATTTCTTTTTCCTTCTCTTTTTAATCAACGATTAATTACGAATTTTTTTTTTTAATTCATTATAATCTAAAATATACAATTTTAATTTTTGTTTATATCGCAAAAATCATGTTTACACTTATTTCCTTTATTTTCTATCATATTCATTGTTATTGTTTTGATGAATTGCGTAGAATTATGCCGTTTCCTGTTTTCCTCCCAGAGTATTTTCACGATCACGAAGGTTATGCGTTAGGCGTAACGATCTCGTATATCACGTTCTGTTAACTTCACGAATTAATGTGTCGTTAATCTTGACTTATATGCGTGTAAGGTATTAATACAATGGGGATAATTATAGTAAATCATAGTTATTAGAAATCTAAGCAAGAATTATTTGGAAATACGTCGAACGTGTTAACATCATATTACAGAAGTGAGTTAATTTGATTCATTTACGGATTTTATTTAGAAAAAATGAAATAATTTTTGTGTTTTATATATAACAAAATTATGAATTTTGTTTATAAATATTAATTTTTCCCCTTCATCGCTCCTTAATTGTAAGAATTATTATGTGCTTTACCTATTTTGACAGATGTAAGTTATTGTAAATTGACGCATTTTTAAAGTTACTCGTTTTATACGTATCTATTTCTTGTGCATAGAAATGAAACTGAAAATACTTTCACGGCTCTATCCAATATACAAAATCTTGAAAAACGATTGAATAGTCAAGTTCAAGTATCATGGAATAGAAATAGAAGTATGAACGTCTGTGCTAAATATAATAAAACAAATCTACGAAAAAATGTATTTTAAAGACAGAATATATATTTAAAAATTGTTTCTAATAAAAATTTCTTTAAAATAAAATTTTATTTATAAAAAAAAAAAACTTCAATTTTAATTTTTCAGTCAAATTGACTCATTACAGGAAAAATATGAATATATTTTTATATATTATTTATCGAATATAATTTTATATATTATAATTTTATATATTATTTATTAATATAGATTATATATTATAATCTAATGTTAAATATTATTTACAAGAATAAATGTTTATTTATTAAAACGGTTATCTCGAAATATTAAAACTTTTTCTTTAGTTTTTATATGATTTACAATTTCTTTAAATATCACTGTTTAAACCGGAAATACATTTGGGTAGATCCTTGGAGATGTAAAAATTAAAATTGAAAATTCTTATCGAATGATTCACGTTTTTTGGCAAGCAAATGAAGTCATATAGCGATTTTCATGATTCTTCAACTCGTAATTCTCATTTTGTCTCGAGATACTTGAAATGAGCAATAAGAAGAACATGCGAACGATTTAAGGTCTCGACCTTGTATTAAACAAATTTTTTTTCTTTATGAGGTCAATTCAATCGTTTGACCTTACAAGATCGTTGCATACATATTTTCTTTTTTTTTTTTTTTATTTTATTATCAAACAATAATAATTGACGATTTGCATTGATAACGAAATTATTTACAAAGACGTAGAGTACTAATTAGGCTTAAAATAATCGACAAAGTTTTATTAACGTGATATCTTGACCTCTTAAAGTTCATTGATATTTACAGATAAATAATATGTTTGATAAATTGTTCGTGTCATTTTTTAGATCGTAATTTTCAGAGGTTCGTTTAAAACAGTGGTTGTCAACCTGTTCCCTACCACCCACTTATGGGCGTTTTGGTTTTCATAATGGGCAATTTGTTTATTGTTCAATATTGAAATACTTTCCTCTTTTCTTTGATTTAATTGATCTTTTAAAAACATTGACAGAAAAATTTCTTTTTATTTTAAACAGGATGTGTCAAGTAATTAGGATATTTTTTAACTTTGTTTTCTTGTTTAACCCTTTCAATATGGCGAAAAATCAGTCCGAGTGCGTTTCATTACAAAGATCTGTTCAATTCTCCTCCAAAAATTATTTGATAATATAACTTTTATGCCTAAAAGATTAAAGGACTTGGAGACGCACAAACGTCCTCATAACAGTGCATCATCAACAACAATGATTTCACAATTGAGTTTTGAATTGATTAAAAGATTTTCTTGACTGGGACAGCATATCTCCCAGCCGGTGCGAAAGGGTTAAAGATTAAAAAAAAATTGTGAATGAAAAGAATTTTTTTCTTCACTTTGTAAATGCACTTTGATATTCTTATAAAAAAAACTCGAAGTACTCGTTAAATAGTACAATATTTTGTTTTAACAATTTTGTTTTAATTTGCAAAAGAAACAAAACTAGAAACCTATATAGTTATTAGACAAACTTTGTATTCATTGAATGATTTCAATTCATGGATTAGATTTAAACAATGATGATTTCATGTATTTAATTCATAGAAATATTAGTTTGTAATTTCAAAGTAAAACAAAAATTAGAAAAATAAATATTTTTATTGCTTTTCTATTTGCAGAAGGAACAGAATTATAATCCGACCAAGTTATTAAATACACTCTTTTATTTGTTGAATAGTTTCAATTTTTGCGTGAAATTTA